TCAGTTAGCATTTTGGATTCAGATGAAAGTCCTTGGTGTGTTAAGGTGCATGTGATGAGTCCTGACATCTGGAATGAACAAGATAACTATCCATCAATGTATCGTCCTGTCAGGAAATCAAACAAACAATAAAACATGGTGGTGATGAAAAAAGCAACGTGAACTTGGTTGTTTCTAAGTTTTGGTTGCTTTGTGGTGTGTTTATTTCTCCAAATATTTTAGTATTAATTAAGAGAATTCATTTTTTAGTATCATATTAACAAGTGCAGACAATGGAGAAGCATGTAAAATGATGGCAAAGAAAATCAGTAGCAGCCTTACTTCTGTTATTTGCACCCATAAAAAAGCTACTGGTTTTCCAAACAAACTGTTTTGTTTGTGCTTTCTGAATAAAGAAAGCTAGACTAAAGTGAAGATTGCCAACACTGGTGCTGTCAAGCTTCATCACCACCCTGCAGTTTTTGACTGAGCTCTCATTACACCAGTTTATCTGGAGCTGATCTGCACTAATCTACTGCTTTGATGTGTTATACATCTACATCTACTTACATTATCATTACACTCTGTAGCCTCCTCCCTCGCTCTCTCTCTGGGGTTAGGAAACCAACTGAAAACATTCCTTAATGTGGCAAAAAATCCTTCTGACAAACTGACTGACAATTACATTTGTATTTGTGCACTTCTAACCTTATGGGAACCAGTTGAGTTTTTCAGGGACAAAAGTGTGTCCATAGCTTCCTCGTCCAGCAAAACACATGATAATCAACTACCCATGATCTCACTTTGGAAACACATTTTTCCTCTCAAATATCACCATTTGACACTTTCTGCCTTTTGCTCTCCCTCTCTCAGTTCATTTAATCTTAATTCTGTGTGCGCATTTACTGCCCTCTACTGTTCTTTGCCATTAAATATTGTTTTTCTGACTTTAGATACATATAATAAGTGTTAAACTATACAGTCAGCAACTAGCACACCTACTGCATGTTCAGGTGATCAAAAGACTAGTTTATAGCTACCTACTGAACATAAGTCTAGTATTCACTCTCAAGGGCTACATCTTGGTCTTTGCCTGCCAAATGCTGTACTGTGTTGACTACAGTGGCTAGTTGCTAACTTTCTGTAATTTCTGCATGTTTGGTGCTGGCCAACTACAGATGCTGACATTCCATAGAGCAGTGATGAACAGCAAACAGAAGTACGTTTAATTAAGTATTGTACTTAAGTAGAGTACAGTTTTGATGTACTTACTTGGAGTAATTATATTTTACTACTTTATGTGTCTATTTCACTAAACTGCAGATTTAATACCAAAAAGAATGCACTCAGTTTATGAAATACAAAACAAAAGGTTTACAACCCTCTAATTGTGGCAACTTGTCACGCATCAGGTCTCTAGTTCTTAGAGGCATTTCACTGTAGAAGTGCCTACTTTTACTGTACAGTAATATTACTATTACTAGTACTGTAGAGTAATATTTTATTTGTATTTAGCTGATAATACTTATAAACATCTAAACATGAATGAAAGGCTTTTACTTATAATGGAGTATTTCTACACTGTCATTTTGGGAGTTTTACTTAAAAAAGGATTTGAGTTCCTCTTCCACCACAGCCATAGAGCTTAAGAAACTACAGATTTAGATGATAGTTTGTGTGGGTTTGTAACTACAGGCAACACCTTTCACGTAAGTCATTTGATGCTTTCTTGATATAAAATATTTACTATAGCTGTTTTAAATACCCATGAACTGAAAGAAGGAGACTTCACAGGGTTTGATGTGCAGGCAGGTGTGGCCAAACACATCAAAATAAATAGTCAAGTATAATTTTCAGTGACATTTAGTTTTTATTATGATGTCAAAAATTACAGCACAAATAAATGAAGCACACAATTACAATATCAAGAAGTACTTTGGGCTTTACTGAAGAACACAGAACATCATAGCAGCAACCATGAAAATATCTCCATGCAGATTGTTTCTTACTGTATATGCAGTTTCAAAGCAGAATATACAGCAGCATGTACCTAAATTAATCTATAGTATTGTAGGACACACTGGCCCTTACACTCCAATAGCACAACTCACTGGTTTATTATCATAATGAAAACTGCACTTTTATTTTTACAGCAGTGTAACAGTTGAGCATAGTAAAGCAAAATGCAAGCAGGAGATGAAACCATCACTGACATTCACTGAAGTAAACAGCAGCATAATACTGACAAAAAGCATTGACATTCACTTCAGTGTGACAATACTATTCAAACACAATCAACAGTGCAAGCATGGCAGTAAAATAACATTTTACATTTTCAGTTTTCTGATGAGAACGTTTGTCAGAGCTGACAGCATCACACATGATGCTCATGAATAAATACAGTGGTCACTCGTTCAAGAGAAGTAACACTGATGTGAAGAAGTACACATGTGTCAGATGTGACTCAGAGCTGAGATAACAATTAATCTAATGACTGACTGACAATGATTCAGTGGTGGCTTTATTTATGTGCCCTTTAGCAGTGTTACCCAAGTCTGTCTCTTTAAGGAAGATCTGTGGAACTAATCACACATCTAGCTTTTTGAATGATTAAAATGATAGGAGAATTTAAAGAAAAAAGTTTTCACCAAACTATGTTTGTTTTCTAATCTTTGCTTTTTTTGCTAAACACCCAATCATTTTACCTCTGAAAAATCATTCAAATCAAGGGGAAAGAGCCTGTTTGGTCATAAGTGGCAGACAACTGGTGACAAGAACTGACATTGCTTTTATTTAAGGGGACACAAATTTAGGAAACACTGGTTTGTTGTATGTTTAAGGCAAAGTTATTGGATGGAGAAGTAACACAGTCATCCTCATATATTAATTAATAAGAAATGTGCTTTGGGCAGCTGTATGAAAAATACAGAAGAAGATAAATAACCCTTTCAGCTTGTGTTCTTTGTAAACTGCTGTATGTCATTGTGACATATGTGCATGTGCACGGGTTAAGTGCAATGTGCAAATTACTATGTAGAATTGATTAATCAGTGTTAGGACATTTAATGGTTGATGGAGATCACAGTTTGCCTGAAAAATCAGGTCTGAGATCATGAAAATCCCAAGAATTTAACCAACCAACAAATTGCTGACAAAGATAAACCTACTTTTTAACTTACTGGAAACAGTTTTAGATACAGCCAGGTGATTAATTGTCTGCTGTTAGTCTGTAACTCACTGTTGTTCGTGCTATTCTTGGTCAGGCCACTCTTGAAATATATTTTTAATCACATTGAGGATTTCCTGGTAAAATAAAAAATAAAAAATAAAGATAAATTAAACTAACATGTAAATAGCTTGTAGTAGGGAACTGATAGGGACACTGTGCTGATAAAAGGTAATTTGTAAAACAGAATTTTTCACAGCTCTTGTGTGACTGGTCAGTGCATGTGACTGCTCAGCAGCTGGTGAGGTGACTGCCCAGTCAGTGCCTCCATCTTCAGCATTTGATATTATCACTGTCCCCTCTTATCTCATCTAATCCTAGTTCCATCGTTGGAGCATCTCTACATTCAACATCTTATAGTAGAGGCAGTAATAGTAATGCTTTCCTAAAGCTGCCATGCAGAACCTGAATAAATACTAAACAAGCTCAAGGTTGAGAAGAGATAAAACCACATTTCTGCTCAAGAACATTAATAACTTCCTGTCACATGTCCATAGTGTCTTTGACCTTACTGACTGTCAATTCATCAGATTTCTTGCCTCATTATTAAATGCAGCACAGCTGCTGTCAGACCTGGGCACAGTAATTACAATAATATATGTGGTATTATTGTACCTCTGTTGAATATTACATGTACTGTAGCAGCAGCAGCTGTATAATTTGATTCCAGCTCTGAGTTGGAAAGCAAAACAAATGCTTAGGCACGCATGGTTCAAATAAACACATTTAAAGAAATGTGCAGTGAGATGAAGGTAAATTATTGCTTTGGCTGATACAACAGTGGACACAGTATCACATTCACTTAATTAAAATAGAATCAAACAATCATGAGTGTGAGCATGTGAGGAAAATTCATAACATGAGCTAAAATCAAAGCCAAAAACCTTTGCAAGCAAAAAAAGTTGGTTAAATATTTTTCAATTATTTTTCTGTATGTAAATATGTATGTGGATTTTTTTTTTTTTAATTGTCACAATTATCACAGTAAAACCAACGCAACTCTTTTCAAATAACTCTTTTAGTGTCCAGATCAGGGAAAGTGCTGCTTAATCCTATACCCTCAATATGGGTAACTCAGCTAAACTGCTTTTTAAAATTTTTATGAACATCATTTAGCAGATTTACAAAAAAACTCAGTTTCGGGCTCACAAGAAACTAATCACTGCTGTGATTTTTGTAGTTCTCCACATTCGGTATTTTGGCAACAAGTAGAAGTCTTAGGTGTTGATGTCATGTTGACGTGAAAAGTACAGTACAATGTTTAACTATTACCTAATACACATGAAAAAAAAAGATAAACTAGCTTTATATGTTTGATAGCTTTTGACTGAATCAGCAACATTTCAGTTAAACTTACATTATATGTACATCTATAATTTGGAATACAAAACGTGTCTGTGACAAGTGGAACCTCATGTCTGATGACTCGACCACATATTGTGAGCCAAGCTTCAATTTAACAGGGATTTTTGGCAAAAAAATTAAATTTGGTTTGTTGTTACAATAAGCAATTCATAACTGAGGTGTAACGGCTGTGATACAATCGTCATGAATAATTAAAGCAACAGATAACGAGTTGGTGGTGGTGTGGTGCAGCCTCCTCATGCAAAGCTACAATCGCTATGGTCATCTCTGATGCTGGTTGTCTAACGCTGCGGTGAAGGCATAGAGGCAGTGTGTGTGTACAAACGTGTGTGTTCAGTGGTTGAGTGAGCTGTTGGCAGTGACGCGATATTACATTAGCTGGGACGAGGTGGGCTGAGCAGAAAAAGAA